TCTACCACCTGCCTCTACCAAACACGGGGAGCAGAGACTGCCCACGCTGAGGAGCTCCTCCCCGAGCTGCCAGCAGCTCCTGCAGACATGGCCCCTCTCCTGGACCAGCAGGGCCTGACCCCTGCACCGGCCCGACTCCAGCCGCCGCCGAGGGAACGTGCCCGTACCTTTCACGGTGATTTCTTTGATCTTTTTGGTTTTCTCATCAATCCACTTCTCCCGCCTGATTTTCTCAGCTGCACTCATCAGTTCCTTCAGTTTCTTAATCTCCTGTTTGGAAGCAAACGGGAAAGCTTCAGACAAGCAGGGGAGAAAGCCCCTGTTAGCCCGGGAGCCCGGCTGTCGAGAAGGAAGCTGCAGGCAAGAGCAGACGGCCCGAGCTGTGCACAGACGGCTCGCACAGCCCTGGCCAGGCATGTTCTCCCAGTCCAGAGAAGCAGCCGTACGCTCTCCCAGTGCCTTCTCCTCTCTCCCATGGGATGGGGCTGCTGCTGCCCCGCAGACCCTGAGCATGGGGGAAAAGAGCAAAACGCTCAGGAAAGCACTCGCCGGCTGAGACAGGAGAGCACCTATGGAGCGGAGAGGGGAACTGGGGCTGCCGACGGCCCGTCCATGCAGGGCAGCCCGTCTGTCAGCAGATGAGGGGTCGTGTGTGAAGACGCTTTCTTCTCCAGCCTTCCCTCTCCCCAGCATGGAAGACCCTCCGGCAGGAGGACTGACAGACAGGCAGGCAGACCTCCCGACACCCCGGCACCACCGCAGACCAAGCTCCTGCAGCACCCCAAGACCCTCAGAGGCTGCACAGCCCAGGCACACCCGGCCACGCCCGCAGCTCTCGCTTCCTCGTCTGCCTGCGTTTGCCCCCTTGGCTCTCCTCTCCAGCAAAAAAGCTGGAGAAACACTCAGGCCCTGCTGCCCACGGAGCACTTCCCCAGAACTCCTGTCGGCAGAAGTCGGTTGAAGCACTCGGCCACGTACTTCTGTGCTGGGGTTTCTGGTGAGAAAGGCACCGGCCAGTGGAGAGCCCAGCCCGGCCAGAAATGGTTCCGTTTCAGCACGGGCAGGTGATGTCTGCATGCAGGACGTGGGGACATGTTACAGCTCCGGAGGACGAGCGTGCAGCTGGACACCCAGGAGCTCGTTACCTGGCCACTGTGCAGAGAGGAGCGGGGAATAACAGGGGGCTGCCCGCACAGCCCGGGACTCGCTTTTAGGGGAAAAAAAGGGCAGGAAAATCGGCACGGGAAGACAGGGACAGCCTGAAGGCAGCAGCTGAGCATGTGGCCTGGGGAGATGGGGTGAAGGGGCTCCTTCCCGGGGCTGACCCTGCCGCTGAGCAGGGAGTTCCCAGCCCAGCCCTGCTGCCTGCAGGCGCCTGCGGAGCCGGAGCAGGTCAGGGCGTGAGAGCAGAAGGGCAAGGCACGAAAAAAGAGCAAAGACCACATTTACCTCGCAAAAGGGGCCCAAAGTGCGCCAGACCTGGGGAGAAAGAAAGGAGGGGATGGAGAGAGAAGGGGAATCGCAGAGTCATGGGGGAGGTGGGGGAGAGGCAAAACCAAACAGCCGTGCGCACACAAGAGCAATGGGCAGGGCAGACGGGGACGCAGGGGTCCCATGGGAGCGAGAGGAGTCGCAGCCAAAGGGCCCGGCAGCACCGCCGGCAACTGCAGCTCTGGGACAAGGGCAGAGCCAGCCCTGCCGGGGAGCATGCCACACACAGCTGGGGACCTGCTTTGGTGACCAGGGGAGGCCCGTGGGGACAAACGTTACTCAGTGGCTGTCCCCCACCACGCAGAGGGAGCAAGGAGCTGTACGGCGGAGCTGGGACGACAAAGGGGCAACAGAGC